TTATTCTTATCTTTAGTATATTCGCAGAGTATGTAAGTAATCATAAAATGACATAATCGATATGAAAAGCTAACTACGCAGGAGTCTTACAAATCGAAACCTAACCTTAAAAGTAAAAGAGTAAAAAAATCGCATGAAAAATATACTCAAAATTTATCTCAAAAATTTATTTCAAAAATATTTGTAGTACACTTACTCCAGATCTTTTTGGCTGGGAAGAGTCCCCAGGATCGAAGCTACATTTCCTCCCTGGGTGGCGTGGGATAAGCGTTGGAAGGAGAAGTACGAATACTTGCATTAGATAGACCCGTGTGGGCGTCACTCTTCCGTCACACTTCCTGGAGGAAGGATAGGCCCTCCTGTCCAAATAATCCGGATGTTTCCATGACAACTGGGACAAAGAGGATCCGGTTGAGGATAAACGCGTTTAAATTTCTTCTTATGCTTCTCGGCAGCGTCAGCAACGAGCGGTTCCCTGATGGAGAATGGTATGGGGGAGGTAGCTATGAGCGTAGGTGTCCACGCAGGTTAAGTCCCACACCAAAGACTTCCCTCAGGACCAAGAGTCATCCCATCCGGGTGTTTTCTGTCCTGGCGAGAGCAGCCCGGTGGTTCAAGGATGCTTGACACCTCCGCAGAACGAAGGGTTCTTATGATGACGTCATTATGCGGGGGCGTGTCGAGAAAAGTGTCCCGCGCTCTGTCTCCAAGGAACGAAGTGGTGCCTCGGGATGCCATCTGCTCTCCGCAACGGCACGTATGGGGATGGAAAATGTCATAGCCCAGCTGTTACGCAACCGCGACGCGGGAAGATTCGTCGAGGATAGTGCCAAGTTGCGGGGACGGTAAAGCATTTAGCCAAACCCCAGCGAGTGAGTTGCCAAGGGCTCGGAGGCTGCATCCTCGAGAGAGAGAGAGAGTAGGGAGATGAAAGCGATGATGCGGTTCAGAATTGGGCGATCCCACGAAGATTGAACGCCACGCTCCTCTTCCGGCGGGGTTCGGTGGGGCTGAAGGAGGCCCATTCTTCCACTCCAAACCGCGACGTCAGTGCCATGAAGGTAAACCGGAAGGAGAAGGCTCATGAGTAGCAGGGCACTGTGGACGCACGCTAAAAAGCACAGAATGGCCACATCTGCAGAATGCCTGACCCAGGCCACCATCCTTCATGGGCAAGGAGGACTGCATCCAGGCGGCTTCCACCACAGAGCAGTTGATGATCACCTCCTACGAGTCCCGCAAAGTCGCGTCGTAGTTGGTGAGGGCGTCCTGCTTTCTCCATGTAGGCTCGCAGTGAAGAAGGAAGATTAGGCGCAGGAGAGGGATGGACGCGCGCAGCAGGGAAAACGGGTGGGAGGAGAAGGATTAGAGGTGATTGGAAAAATTCGCCAGTTGCTTGGTCTTGGTCGCTATAACGGCCTCGTTAGCCTCATTGGTCAAGGGGGCTCCATGGAGGGTGGCTTTTCTGTTCCTCGCAGAAATTTTCAGATAAATAATTCAGACGTGCTTCTGATGGATTGCTTTTCGTCGGTGTTATCTGATATCGAATATTTTGCCACTAGCTTTAGTATATGAATTTAGATACATGAGATCAAATCTTTGCTGATAGGTTTGTTCTGGAAGATATGTGCAACTAATGTGCTGACAATTTTTAGATTTTCAGTAGAAACAAAGAGTTATTTGATTTAATGTTAATGTAAAGACGCAAACAAGGATTCCAGAAAACTGTTCACAGCCCAACAAAACAATAAAATGCTATCCATTATTGTTTTATTATTTGGTATTTAATTTAGTTTGATGGAATCGTCAAGATTAGTGAGACCGTGTAATACATAACCGCAGATCGATACTCTATTTTGAAATTTTTCCTGACAGGATACCCCCTTCCGCCAAGGATGATAAGAAATCCTAATATTGGCAACGATCTCAATCTCAGATAAAAAACTGATCTCGTCGAAGTACATTTTCTTCTCATTATTTTCAAATTTGCATCGAATTCTTGATACGTTTGGGCTGCCATGTCCACGATTTGGTGAACAGCTATTCCTATAATTAAAGCTATGCAGGGAAGAACCCAATACACAGCGAGCGGAACAACTTCAAACATTGTGATGGTTGCATAGTTGAATGTCACCTGTACAAATTACATAAGAAGGTAATTTAATAATTACGGGATTTAAAATTATAAATAATTGCAATCGCGTGACGACATCGAACTATTTGCAGTACATTAACACACTTATTATATTTTGACCAAAGATCCGCGTATTCAATAATTGTGTGCAGATCTTTTATAAATCTGTAAATTAATTTAATTCAGCACATAAATATTTACTAGATTTCTTCCTACATATTTCTTCTCATAAAGTTACCTGCATTATGAATCCCACCGTCGTAATTAGCGTGAGCATCGCCGTTGCCCACAGCCTCCTGAAATTGTACAATATTGCAAAATGCCGATAAAACAGCATCCCTCCGAGATTACTTCGTCCAGTGATATTCGTGAACATGTGCATCTCCCTTTTTACCACATTGATTACAAATAACACGCAAAATAGTGTAATCACGACCAGTCTACATAATTCAGTCATAGCGATTAGACATAGGATGCTTCGTAGCATGATAGAAGTAATCGGAAGAATGTAGTAGAGGGGATCCATGTTAACCGATATGAAACCTATGGTCAGTATGATAGGTAGCTTGGAGTAAACTTGAGCAACTAAAACAGCGATTTTGTTAACTGTCGTGGTTATCGCAACCCCATTTTCCTTCGAGGGACGAACTAGGAAATTAGAGGTTTTTTTAGGATTGTGTACAATCGAAGGAAAATCGAAAACCGAGATCAAATTCTGTATTAAACTTTTATTTTCAATCTTAGATTCGGATTGCAAGGTCGAAACTGCTAATTTTTTAATATGGCTGGATTACAAGGGTATCGAATTATGCAAATTATAGTGTTCGTTATCGTTTTGTCGAATTGCTTTTATCCCAATTACCATTTTGTAAGTTTTAATTACTCTAATTGCAACGGGATTTAAGGTTGGCAAAACGCCAACCGTATCCTGGTCCTTCTAGCATAGAATTTGTTCTCGTTATAAATCAACCGGTACAATTAAATACTTACCGCTCGACAATCTAATAAACATGTTGAACGATCTCTCAATTTCTTGCATTGCATAAACATTCCAGAGAATAATTACGGGCAGGATCATCACCACGACACCAATTAATACAACTATTGCGGCACTATAAAAGCTGATAACACCAAATGGAACGATGTCATTTAATTCTTTGGTATAATGTAGGCCAAGAAGTGATAACAATGGGATAATTATGGTCATAAAGGTTATGGCGATTCTTGTCCAAAATTTGTAGTATGGTATGAATTTAAAATCCATGATGATTCTTTGCCTCTCGGAATTCCAGTGGAAGGGGGAATTTCCGAATAATCTCGATTTTTCAATTATTTCCGTATAGAGGAGAAAAACACCGAAGAATTCGGAAACCTGGGGTGACATTTTGTGTTTCTTAAGGAAACACTTATCACGCAAGTTTGCCATGTAAAAGACTACGATTGTCTGGCAGGGTAAGGTAGGATACAAAATATGAACTTTTTAACATGTTTTAAATATTGCACTACCTTTACCCCATGTAGTAATCGAATATGCATTAAATCGATAGTTTTTGATATGGCGGAGACTTATTTAATAGAATTTTCTTAAGAAAGTTGTTGCGGAGAAAGGCAATATTTCAATTTGGCTAAATTTATTTAAAATTGTATTGCCAGCACAAATTGGGAGGTATGGAAATACATAAATAAATGAATTTTATATTATATTAAATGATGGACATAGTGGGGATATAAAAATGGTTTATCAAATTTCCAACTTCAGACATAAGTGCAAAGTAAACGACCAAAGAATTCTGAACTTTCAAATCAAAGTTAACAGAACTTTAAGAGATTATGTTTTTAATCCTGGTAGCTAAATAATGACAGAGCAAGATTCACAATCGCAAATCAATTCTCTAATGAAGTCGAATATTATAGAATACAAATTTCATTACTTTTCTATCTATGGTATGGATATTAAAATTAAAGACAATTTTGGTTCAGCTTGTAAATTTTGACATTGTTTGAAATTGTCAAATATTTTTAAAAGCTTTTGATCCGTGGTGTATAAAACCTTCAATAGCTTTTAAAATGTGAATTGAAGTGAGTAAAACGTTTTTAATTTTGAAAATCGGCCTAGAACTGGCGGAGATTTTGAACTTCAAAATTTACAATCTGAACCAAAACTGTCTTTAATTTTAATGTACGAACCATGGTGCGGTCTTATTTCTAATATTCTGCAAGTGGAGATGGATGAAAATCTATCATGAATTTGAGACCCATCGCACGTCTCGCAACTTGTAGAATTCGATATTTGCAAAATCGACGGGAACACTAGTAATAAATATTTCCATGCTTTTTCCACATTATATTTTAAAGAAATTATAGATATATCACACATTAAAATATAATGTTATAATGTTCAAATCTATATTATAAAAAACCCTTTATTTCATAGCTATAAAAAATTGCATCGTACTTACATAAAACTCTGAAAATAATTAAGATAGAAATTTACTGTCTCAAAAAAGCAATTTAATTAATTGATGAAAATTCATAAAGTAAATCAGCATACATTTACATACATACATATCTCAAGTGCTTTCAATAACTGGTCAATATTTCATCCCAAATTTAGTACCAAAAAGCCATTACTTAATTTTGAACAGGTATGTATGCACCTAATAACTTAGAGATGAAAAGCAATCACACTTTATTACTTTTCATTCATATTTTAGCATATTATTTAATTTATACATTTTTTATGACCTTCTGGACAATTAAGTTACTCTTTACCATCGATCTACAAGATTTTAAAGCCAACCCGGTGTCCAACAATACAAGAAAAGCTGTACGTTTTAAACTTCAAATTTCCAACTTATTTTTCAAAATGGGTCAAAATTCGAATCTAGAAATTTCATCTAATTCTCCAAAATATCGTTTCAAGTACGCTCCCTTGCCCATAATTAATATCACTTGGACCCATTTGGTCACAATTTACGGAATTTATTTAATCCTCTCGGGTCACATTTATTGGAAAACAATAATTTTTTCTTGGATTTACGGTTTCTGTGGACAAATCGGAGTACATGGGGGTGCACATAGATTATGGAGTCATAAAAGCTATAAAGCCAAACTTCCCCTCGTTTTGGTACTCGTTTGGTGGCAGACCATAAGTGGACAGGTAGATTGATAAGTGACTAATATTGCGAAATTAATTGCAAGTGTGATCTGGTAGTATTATTGCGAAAAAATTTTTAACAATACATATGTTAGTTTTTTTTTTTTAAATCGGCAACATGCATTCTAAAACAAATGGGGTATTCACGTCACCGTTCTAGCAAGCCTACGTATGACAACGACTGTAAATTTTGCCAAATATTTTTGCAACTTTACTACAAATATTTTTTGCACAACACCTCTAATAATTGTTTGGCGGAAAATTTAAATTATTCAATAAATACTTAGTAACTCTTTATTTATCAATTATAAAATTAAATTAAAATATTTTTATTTGATGCCATTCCAGAACTCGATCTATGAATGGGCCCGAGATCACAGGGTCCATCACGCCAACACAGAAACAGACGCGGACCCCCATAATGCAAAACGTGGCCTTTTCTTTTCCCACATTGGCTGGCTCATGGTTCGAAAACATGTCGATGTTATCGCAGCGGGGAAAAAGATGGACCTCTCTGACCTTGAGGATGACCCTGTCATCATGTTTCAATACAGACATTACAAAATTCTTGCGACAATTTTCACATTTGGGGGACCTATACTTTTCACATGGTACTTTTTTGGAGAGAGTTTGTTCAACAGTTGGGTCATGGTTGTTGTCCGGTACGTGCTGAGTCTTCATGGAACATTTCTGGTAAACTCGTGGGCCCATTGGTACGGGACGAGACCGTATGATAAGTAAGTTGCAATTAGAATTTCCCAAGTTTTTGTTATTTATTTTTTAAGGGAAAGTACCAACCAGGAAAGCAGGGTATGTGTAAGCGAGAGTAATTGCTTGTTAAAAGGATTCCAGGACAGTACATTCCCCACCTTTCATTCCGCCACATTTAGCAAAATCGTTCCAGTGGTTGACCGGTGGGGGTCAAATAGGTGATGGGGGTAATATGCCCCAAATTTTCAAAATAGTGATAGGAAGCTGAAATTTGGCACAAATTGGGATCTCTGATGACTTCTAATGAAAGAATATGAAGTGAAATTATAAAAAAATTCTTCTGGAGGTACCCTAAAGGGTGACCCACCGAGTTTGAAAAATTGTCTAATAAAGACGAAATTTGGCATAGGAGTCTTCAATGGCTTATAGTGACTTATTTCGACTTACTTCGAGTGTGGTGAATGGGAATGTGGAGGAATGAAATGTGTTGGGTATGAAATGTGGGGGAATGAAAGATGGGGAATGAACTGTCCGGACACCGTTGAAAGGTTATGTAGCGGAATTGTTATGCGGGCAATATCTAGGCTCTCAGATAAGAATTTCAGATAAGGATTTGATCTCGTTTCATTACGCAGACCATCTGTTAGGTCTCATAAAATGGATATTCTAGGATTTTTAAAATTTGTATTTTTCTTTCTAAATAGAAACATTAATCCATCGGAATCAATATTTACATCTGGTAAATTATTTATTATACATTGCTATTAATTTTCTGATAGTTTCGTTTTTTAATCTCCTAGTTTTTTCTGGCGGTGAAGGCTGGCACAATTACCACCATACGTTTCCCTGGGATTATAAGACTGGAGAACTTGGAGGTCATAGGTTCAGCACGACGACAATGTTTATAGATGCGTGTGCAAAATTGGGATTAGTTTATGGGAGAAAGTCCGTGTCTGGTGAAGTGGTCAAGAAGAGAATGCAGAGAACTGGGGATGGCTCCAGTTAATGGTCGTACATCATATTAATGATTTAATAATATGGTTAATTAAAAAATGTATATTGATTTAAGCAGAATAAATATTGTGCAATGAATTTGCATATCGGCTAAAATAAACCAAACACCTCGTTTATAACGCTTTTCGATTCTTTTGCGACGACAATATAAAGCAGATCTACATAATACTCTAATAATTTAATCTAATAATACATAATCAAATTAATTCGAAATACAATTATGCAACTATTTTATATTACTTGTATTTAAACGAGACTAAATTATGTTTTTATCGTTATGTTTTTCACGCTAAGCTAAATAATATTTAATATATATAATATAATTACTAATTTACTTGGTTCTGACCTAGAAAAAAACTAAATTAAACATATCTAATACAATTAAACCTTTTTGGTTTGTTCGTCTAAGTTTTTAATTAAATTTTAGAAATAGACTGCAGATAATTAAGTAAAATATTGCACGCTGAAATTGGACGAATTGGAGTAATGTCATCACATTTTCTGCGACGTAAGCTATGTAATTGTATTATTTTAATTGGAGTTGCACTAATTAAATTTTAAATATAAATACGTGCAAATTTTTGTTGAAATTCGAATTTATTACTATCTGTCTGTTAGGAAAAATATTAGATGAGGTGAAAAGTTTGAATTTTCTGACAATTAATGAAAAAATATGTACCATACGGTAGCAAGTTTAAATTTCCGTAAAATTATTTTTACAATTCTCACATCAAAATTTTAAAGTTTTAAAGTGGCTCTATAACGATTTTGATTGTTACATTTGTTGCACAAAGTAATTTTTTAAAGTAGGAAGCATGACTAAGTTCTTAATTTTTCTAAGAACCTCAATTCTACCAATTTATCTAAAATTTTTTTCCTTCGCTGAATCTCTATCCGAATCTAGATTCAAATTTATCATTACCCATCTAAAGTTTTCCTTGTTAACTAGCCCCATCCCTGTGCTGCTTGATACAGAGGGTGAGATTCCTAAATTTGTGGGACGTACGGCTAACTGGAAATATTTGTTGAAATGGTACTTTGATCTGGCAAATTTACTATTCCAAGTTGCCATTTGTATCAAGTGGCTGTGGAGCGAGATCTGTTTATTCAGTGTGACAAGTCTAGGGTGCCAAGATGCGGTTGAAACTTGGCAAGTCGTATTAGTCGTGTTTTTCGCACTACTCTATACCATCCTTTGGTTGTGGTTGGTTCATTCGGTGAGATCGTTTAATGAAATGTTGGCCTTACAAAATTTTTGGATGGTGGTGGATTACTGTGAAAATGAGAGATATCGTAAGTACACTGGAAACTATAGGTAATGAGGTAGAGAAATTTGGTGTGTACTAAATATTTTGGACTGTCCTCGACAATTGATTTGCGAAGTCGGATAAAATCGTTCATTTGATATGGTGAAATGGACGAAAGTATCAGATTAAAAAATTATGGTTAATAAAGTTTGCCGACAGTTTATATACAGCTAATTGCGCCTATTAACCAGGAAACAATTCAGAAAGCATTTGATCTCTCTTAAATTGGTAAATCGCAAATCATGCGAACCTGATTTACCACTTCACGCAGTACGGATTATGACAGCTAACAAACAAATTCCTTTACCTCTCTAATGTTCCCACTAAATATTGCAAAAAAAGTTTGTTAAACATGGATTTTTCTAGGTGACAGGGTTACTTTGAAAGACGTGTGCTTGATCACATTCTCATCAGCGGTACAGTTTACTGTCATCTTACCCTTGGCAATGGTTGCCTTAAGCATTTTTCAACCCTTCCTCCCCCCTCTGATTACAGGGATGGTGGGATCCGTGAACTGTAAATCGTGGGACGATGACGGAATCCAGCTCGGGTTATTGCCCAGGGTAGGACTTGGACTGTTGGCGGCGTATACGTGGCATTTTGTCCCGCTTTTTGGCGGGCCTGGAATAATTATGTTGATGGTGCACCCGACTCTGGTACAAGGGATTCTTCTCAAAGATGTTGAAAGGTTTGGGAAAATAGAGTTTGCAATCTTCAGAAAAAGTTTGACGGATTTTAGCAGATTTTGCAAAAACCTATGTTTCTAGTAGCCACCTAGCGGCGTATATCTTAACCATGTAATTTTGCTTGATGACGACTATTAAATTCATAAAATATCACAGAAATCACACAAACCGCAATAATAGCACGCTGATACTACTATGATTCTATTGTAGACTGATTAATACCGGACACACCCACAAAGTTCGAAAATATCGAATCGCTCAAATTCACGGACGTTTACATAACGAAACTTGGCGACACCCTTCTATGGCTCTGCTCGTGTGTGGCATCATCCTAGCCGAGGTGACCTGTCTTTACATGACACTTACATCGAGGGATGTCTTATCACCGCCAGGGTTCTTTATGTTTGCATTAATTGGTAACAATATGGTATTTGTGATCCATTATTACTTCAAACTTGTCTCCTACCCGGATATAAAATCGGACAAGTTGCGAAATACTTGGAAACAGAAGAAAGATAAGTGGGTTCGTGCTTATTTACGAAGCTGTCACCCTATCAAGTTGAGTTTGGGGGATGGAACGTTTTTCGATAAGATGACATCTCTGAAAATTTGGCAGTTTTGTATTGAGACATTGGTCGATATTTTACTGATATAGTCATACAGGGTTTGGATTTCCTGGTGTCAATTTGTCACCAATTGTGATAATTAAAAATCGCCAAATATACAATCGTGGGAGTCTCGTTAGTAACCACACGGTAATTAATTTACACCACGCTTGATAATTTTTTCGCAATATAAGTATACGTACATATGTATTTGTAGTTGAATTAATTAAGCCGGAATTAAATATCCACACACATATACATAATCGTCATTTTATAAATCAATTAAACTTTAATTAATAGCTATGCATGGATATTTATAAATATGTGTATAAATAGATATTAGTAAATATTGCTGCATAGTACTTCTGATAGTTTCGCTATAAGACGGACGACATGGCCACAATCGTATAAACGTCTTAAGTATTAATAAATGAAGAATACAGAATATGTAGAATATTGATGTTAAAAAAGCTCAGTAAATAAATTCAAACTTTTCGGCAGTTAAAATAAAGATAAAGACTTAGACAAGTATATAAATATGCAATATTGAGATATTTTTGCGGCAATAATTCCACTATCCTAAAGGTGCGCAGGTATTCTTATTTAATTACTTACAATGCGAGGCCGTCAAATGTTCACCTCCGATCTTGATGGGACTAATTTTATTTTGTTCACCGCAAAAAATAAGCAGACCCATAATTTTGCGTTTTCGATAATGCTCGAATTTGAGCGCGTGGCGGGAATTTCAAACTTTTTTTCAGCCAAAATCACGAATTTTAAAATCTTCAGAACTTTTCAATTTTGGCGCGAATTAAAAAATCCAAAAACATGTATGTTCAGAATTACTTCCTTGAACTTGAAAAAATACTATTTTTCGAAATTTCGAAAATTTGACTTTTTGTGTAGGGTTTGATTTTCGAAAAATTGCAAAACTCAGAAAATTTCAAAATTTTCGAAATTTCGAAAAATATTATTTTTTCAAGTTCAAGGAAGTAATTCCGAACATACATGTTTTTGGATTTTTTAATTTGCGCCAAAATGGAAAAGTTCTGAGGATTTTAAATTCCGGGTTTTTGGCTGAAAAAAAGTTTGGAATTCCCGCCACGGGCTTAAATTCGAGCATTATCGAAAACGCAAAATTATGGATCGGCTTATTTTTTGGGGTGAACAAAATAAAATTAGTCCCATCAAGATCGGAGGTGAACACTACACGGCCTCGCATTGTTAGTGTTATGGAACGATTTAATAAATATTTGATAGTTACCGTATTAGTTTTTAGTCTTTCCAATAGTAATAATCTTTCCTTTATTGCATAGAGAAATATAAAACTCAGTAATTTAAATTTTCAAAATAAATTGGATCAAGATTTAATCAGTTGAGACTTGATAAAACTAAAATTTCATAAATTTAATATCTAAATATCCTGCAGACATACATACACAGTGTATGTATGTCTGCATAATGTTAGTAAGATATGTGTATTATACAGAAATACTCTTTAAATATTCCTCAGGATAATGTAGACAAAACGCTAAATTCGAGAACTATCTAAATAAGAATTTTAATTCTACAAACCGTAATTCTATAAATTTGTTTAAGTTTCGCAGTCAGGTAATGCCTTTACATCGGTCACCACGTTAAAAAACAAGTTTGCAAGTTAGCAAAAAAAATATTAAAATGGCCTGAAATCCGATTTGCGAAGATCTCGAAGATCGAAGGTTAATATTCAATTAGTCAAATATTTTTCGAAAATTGCGAGTATGCAAACTCGTGATGAATTCGCTAAAACCTCAATTTAACGTTTAAATCCAAGCACAGTTGCAGAAATATTAGAACAAAATTCCGTATTTTCCCAAATTTTAAAAATGTCTGACAAACTTATATCTTTTCTTGTGAACTCAACCGTATTAAAACTGCACTGGGTTGAATCCTTGTTTGAATCACGATTCAACTTTATCATTGCCCACTTAAAAATGGCCTTGATAACTAAACCAGCTCCCATCAGTTTAGATTCGCAACGAAAAATCCCACAATTAATAATCCAAGGGAAAAATTGGAAATCAATGTTAAAATTAAGTTTCGACCTAGCAAATTTATTTTTCCATTTCGCCACTTGTCTAAAATGGCTGTGGAGTGAGACATGTCTCTTTACTTCTGACCCAAGATGTAACTCTGACGATGAAGAAACCTGGAAAGTTGTCATGATGGTGTATTTCGCCTTGCTTTACTTATTCCTCTGGTACGGCATGATTCACTTGGTGAGATTTTCGAAAGAATTCGTCACCTTGTTGAATTTAGGAATAGTCGTAGACTACTGGGAAGATGAGAGGGAACGTAAGTTAATATTTTGGATGGTGCAAGGCTTGCGTATAAAACTAAATCAAATTATTGCTA